TATACAAAACATGTTTGGCTATATGGCCGGGACATTACTGCAATATTGCATAGTGTGGCTGCTATTGTTTGCAATGTTGCCGGCCACAGTGTTGCTGCCATCAATTGCAGCAAAACATGGCCCGTTTAGAAGCGCCATTATACTAAGGATATGCGATCGAACATCGTAAAATTTATCATATAATTAATTAATGTTGAACAATCCAATATGAGTCACATAAATATATAATCATAATATAGCCTAATTTTGTTGATGATTAAATATTAAACGTTTTTTATTGATTGATTCGGTTCTATGACCTAAAAAAAAACACGAATCCTTAACAGTATTTTCGCTCTGCTCCTGCGCGTCCTGCCAATTTAATCTATGTTAAATGTTAATCTATCACAGTCATAAATTTCTTGCGTGTACCACAAGCGACTCTAACGGCGAATAAAGTAACTATGGTTTTAATTTACCATAGACTATTTACTTATACTAGATCTGTGGTTCATAAGAGTGGCCATATGAAAATTTGTCAATTCTACGTTCCCGCCACGACTCATACATTTTATACTTATGTCATATTTATTTACCACCCGGATACTCATTAGCCATATTAAATATATGAATTAAAGAGTGGCCAATTCATGCTTAAATTTGACTACCATAAACTGGAATAAATGACAACTTACAACCAATTTCACCAATATGGTAATTGTCATATATATATATATGTTAGTCAATAATCAAATATAAACCAATCGCTTTTCAGCACAGAACAATTTATAGTTTCAATTGTCAGTCTGTCATTTTTTCATGCATTTGTTCTGTTTTCATGGACATGCAGGAAGTTAATTATATGTGCGAGAAACGGCCGATGTTGATATTATTACCTTTCTTTTCGTTTTATTTAAGTAAAATATTTAATACATAAGATTACTAGTGGTTATTAGGTAGTGAAAAGTTTAGTATATTTTTATAGTGAATAACTTTAATCATGCCCTATTGGTATTATGATAAAAAAGACTTACTGAACACACCATCATTTCGCGATGGAATTTCAAATGACACAGAAAATCGGTATCGAAAAGAAGGCGCTCGCTTTATCATTGACACAGGATCAAAAATGGACTTGGGTTACAATACCGTTGCTACTGGTGTTGTGTATTTCCACCGCTTTTACATGTTCCATTCATTCAGAACATTCCCCAGATATATAACAGCATGTTGCTGTCTCTTCCTCGCGGGTAAAGTTGAGGAGACACCAAAGAAGTGCAAAGACATAATTAAAGTTGCCAAATCTTTATTAACTGAACAGAAATTTAGTACATTTGGCGATGACCCAAAGGAAGAGGTGATGACTCTGGAAAGAATCTTGCTGCAAACTATCAAGTTTGACTTGCAAGTGGAGCACCCTTATGGGTATCTATTGAAGTATGCTAAGTGCCTTAAAGGAGAAAAGAGCAAGTTACAAAAAATTGTTCAGATGGCTTGGACCTTTGTGAATGATAGGTAAATTTAATTTTTCTATTTAAGCAACTCACCAACTCACTCAACCTACTATGGTTTCATATAAATTAATACTTAATATTTTGAGGAAGTTCAAAAGCATCTTATATATGTTTTAATAAGAGCAGTATTGCCCTAGTGGCTTCAGTGTGCAACACTTATCAAACTCAAACTCAAAATATCTTTATTTAAGTGGGTAACCAAGTACACTTTTGAATTGTCCACATACACTTTTGTATCCTTGAGGTACTAGGTTTGATGATTGACAACTGGGGAGCTGTGCACCAATGAAGTATCTTTTTGTTTAACATTTGCTTGAACGCTGGAGGAAACTTGCTTGCCAAAAGGTTGATCACCTACTTGCCTATTAGATTGACAAATGATCACTTAACAGATACAGAATGTGAGGCCAAGACCTTAAAAGGTTGTAGTGCAACTGATTTGTTAGTATAAACTATACTAATATTATAAAGCTGAAGAGTGTTTGTTTGGTTGAATATGCTAATATCAGGAACTACTGGTTTAAATAGAATAATTTGTTTTGTGTTGGATATTTTGTTTATTCAGCAATTCTAAAGGCTATCTATGCAACATCACACAAACGCAGACAGAAGTAAATCATAAAGTTGTCAGAGTGTTGCAAAAGAATGAATTATTTTACCTTATTGAGAACTTCCATTGCTTGCACTGTATAAACAGTTTAAGTAATGCACAAATAATTTATGAGAAAATTGTTTTTCCTTAAGAGTCCTTGGTAGCATATGCTATATGTTAAGTATTACTTATTAATAATATGTTTAAAAAGGTAATCAATTTCAATCTTCGTTAGATTGAAGAAAGTTGCCTTTGAGGTTATTTTAATTCAATGAATATCTTGGGCAAATATTGTAGTTAAAATTACCGCATTATAATATTGGCCAAATGCCATGCGCATTTATGATGTCCAGTCACAAAATTACCACTACACATGGAACCACAGAGAACTCTTAATAATTAAATTAATTTCAGTTTATGCACAACTTTGTGCCTACAATGGGAACCAGAAGTTATTGCTGTAGCACTTATGTTCTTAGCAGGAAAACTAAGTAAATTTGAAGTAGTAGATTGGAATGGACGCACGCCTAAACATAATGCTTGGTGGGATATGTTTGTTGAAGACATCTGTATGGAGCTACTTGAAGATATTTGCCATCAGGTACTGAAAATATTTTTCAACATATGATTATAAAAAATACTAAAACTAAACTATTGCGTTTCCTTTAGAAATTGTATTGACCACTATGCTAGGTGCATCAAGTAATTGGAAGCAAGAAATGCAGAGCACACATTACTAAAATATCTTTCTCACTTTATATGCTATTTTAGCAAATAATAATATTCTTTCTATTCAAACATAGTTTTAAATATCATAATGTATGGAACATTTTATTCAAATTTATTTTCAGGTACTTGATCTATATTCACCGCAGACGCAACCTTCTGCTGCTGACTCACCCCCTCCACAGCTAGTTGCACAGCCTACTATCAGACCTGTGTTAAAAAACGACAAGAAACCCTCTGTTACACCGCCCACTTCCACATCACCTGTCGCCGTTGCTAAACCTGTTGTCACGCCCATCAAAAACGGCTCTGATGTCAAGCCAGAGCCTCCGAAAATGGACATGAGATTTACTTACCCTGGTTACCCTCCAACAATGCCCCCTTATCCGCCCATGTACTCTGCTCCTCCGCCATCAATACCACCTCCACGACTGCCATTACCCCCTGGCCCTCCTTTAGCTATATATTCAGAACCACCTCCTGCAAGATTTCCTCCGGTTAATGTTCCTCCTCCCAATTATTATCCCCCTATGCCAACTCGTGCACCTCTGCCCACGAGAGGTCCAATACCACCAGGCCCACCGCCTCCAAGGTCCTATTATCCCCCAGTGTAACAGAGGGATATGTTAAGTTATTATAGCTATATTAACTTACATTCTAATTTTTTACTGAAATACAAGTATAGACTCTTATGGGTATTTCATTTTCCTTTCTTTGTAGGGGAACCCTGACGGTTTGGTTGAAATTATATAAAATATTGCTACACTGACAATAATTGCCTGTACTAATATAAAGAGATGTAAAGTTTGTGACATTGTAGGGGTTTATCTCCACTGAACAGATTGCAAAGTCAGAAAAGGCAACAAAAAAGCGACAGCATTAATTTAAATCTGTAACCATGGATAGGTTGAATAAAACTACAATATCATCACATATTTTAATCAAACAATTTTACTGAATTTATACATTTAAAATAATACATAAAATTATTGTTAAGGCCTCGTACATTGAGCAAAAACTATTATAATTTTCGTAAATACTTCAGTTTGTGTAAATGCATATAGCAATGCTTAGAAATCCATTTTTTGTGAAGTTCTTATCGACTAGTAACGAAATTTATGAAAAATTAAACACTTCAATAGAGTAGACTTTCATACATTTACGATCTTTTATTGTTGTAAGTAAATTTGTGCAGTAGTATATTAAAATGTATCACTATTCATTTTATTTAGAAATGGTTAAATAAATAATAATGACACCTCACGGTAACTGAAAGCTCAATTCAATGGCCTTAACAGTTAGCTGCCCTCGGACTAGATAATAAAAATACATTTGAACACAAATTAATAAGAAATATACAATGTTAACTATACTATAAATTAATAAGTTATTTTTCGGAATACTGATAGGTTAATATATCTAAATATAAAAATGATTCTCACGACAACACAAACTAAAATACGAAAAATTACATACGAATGACAAAAACAGAATTATATTTAAATGTTAAATAAAAATCTAATGATGCACAGTTTATAAATATTTATAATACAATTAGAAAGGCACATAGGACGATATCAGATCGCGAATAATCTCCGATTTAAGGCACGTAGTTTCACTTAGACGCTAAAGGGATGTTCCTAGGTATAGAACGCACGTATACGTAAAAGTATAAAACCCTGTATCTACCTAATTTATTATACTTAGCAGCCCTTAAATAGTGAGCTTTTTGAGTAGATTTTTTGTGTTCAGTTGAAATTAAAGTTCTAGTGTTAGTTAAAATATGGCTGTGTACAAGGTGTTAGAAATTTAATTAGAAAAATTATGAAAGATTCACTTAAATAGCACATATAGGTTTAATACAAAAATATACAAACTAGACGAAGATGGCAGCGTCATGTCAGTCCTAAATTATTTTCAATATGACCTAATCAATTATGGCTTAATCGTGAGCAAATATACTTATAATATGTAATAATTTCATTCGATTATTAAATAGAAAATTCATTTTTATTTTATACAAAATAGAAAGAATTTCTTTGTTTATATAAATAATGATTTTAAATTTGATAAAATACAAGCAGCACAAGCGCCCACATTTAACAGATAATCTATACAAACATGGTATGAAGATTCACCAGACGGCGCCTTTTGAACACATTCGCCCTTACTTGGCTTTCTGAAATGTTTTATATGAGGCGAGACTGTTTGAGATACATTAAGAGTACTTGATGCAGGAATCTGTATTGGTGAACGTTCTCTATGAGGTTGGCACGCTGTTGGTGCAACACGCTTATCGTTCTCGATATGTCTAATTCCTGAAGAGTAACAATTTTAATAATATAAATAACTAGAAATAAGAAATTCTCAAAACATGCAATGTTCTTACTCTAGCACTTTGGTTAATAAGCTAATTTATAAAAATATGTCTGGTGTACGCCATACGCCGCGACTAACATTGAAAAAACTGCGAATTAATTATATAGTGGGTATAACATTATAATTTGATACTAAAAGCCAGCCTTTTAAAAATTAATTTGCGTAGGGTAAGTCCAGACTCTTCAAAAACGTAGATTTTGACATACGAGAGGGAAGGCGGAAACATACTACTAATACGCGACGCTACACCACGCCATCCGACGCATGTCAGTACTTATCAATCCCATATATTTAATATGGTCAGGTGCACATATACAACACGCCATGTGATCACACGCGGTAACATCCAATCGATTTGGATCAGCGTGTTGTCGTGTTTTTGACGCCAAGCGTCAAACGTTCGAGTTTTTGGCACAAATGTCAATTTATATACTTACATATTTTTGGATTTATTTATTTGCCGAAATGAACGACCAACAATTAACGGCGCCTTCACCACCAAAATATTCCTTAAATTTGTTTCTTACTGAAAATGAATACTGTGTGGAATTTCTACGAATTGGATTTAAGTCGTGGTGTCGCGTGTTGGTAATGTGCACGATGGACATCGGGTGTCGACACGTTGCGTCGCGTGGCGTTTTAGTAGTATGTTTCCACCTGGATAGTTCGCTCTAATGGGGTATTTACACGGGTCGATTTTCGCCGTGAGGCGAGTCGCTTCACAAATTGCCTCACCAAGCCGCATCGCTAGCCCATTTACACAGGTGACTAAAATCGCATGCGGCTTGGTCATTTCCATCGAAAATGTTGAGCAGAATAGCCGTTTGTGCCGCAATTGAAATAATTAATTATTCAATTATTTAACAGTTGCTTAAAGAACAAAGAGAGAAGGAAAAACAAAAGGAAAGAAGAAAACGTAATGTTTGGGTACGAGGATGGATTTCTCGACGTAAGGTCTTGGGTGCTTCGGATACTTTATTGGTTGAGTGGAGTTTAGAAGATCATATTTTTCATATTTTTATTCATGGTCGTCACGATACATATACACAGAATCGCTGTAGTAAATAATACACGTGCGTGCGCGAAACACCTTCATGCGGCGGGCGATCGCCTGCAACTGATCGTTTACACGGTCGATTTTAGTCACCAGTCGCATGCGGCCGGTCGCCGCGCGGCCAAAATCGGATGCTACCCAACTTTGGGGCTTGCGGCTTTAGTCACCTGCGACTTAGCCGAATTGCCATTTAGATGGTCGATTTACGCCGCGCGGCAAAAATCGTGCGGCTTTAGTCACCCGTGTAAACCCCCTAATAAGTCTCGACTCTCAATTTAAGCCGAATTAATAACAGTTCAATATTTATTTACTCTGAGAAAATTCTATAGAAAATATAAACCTGATTTGTGTCTAGCACGTGTAGCAATAAGTCTGACGCAAGCGCCACTCCGCTGCGTCCAGCGGCGCGTGCGCACGTCACCACGAGAGGCGCGTTGCGTGACGTCACAGCTGCATCCGCACTCGATTCCGCTTCGCACGCTAACCGTAGGCCATTCAGCTCGGAGAGGAATTCTTAAACGAAAAAATATTATGCGAATTTCATAAAGTTTTTATTTATTTACATGACCTGGATACAAGCCGAGCAAAAGCAAAAAAACTTATTAATGTTATAGGTACCCACCCTGTGACATGACCGTAAAATGTTTTTTTTCTATTAATAATTAATATTGAAATGATACAAGTATTTCGGACAATTTTATACAGACACAGATACAACCAATGAAATGTGAACTATCGTAAAATAAATAATAATCACATACTCAATTTTTTATGTTTCACTGAATGATATTTTTTTAAATATATATTTTAAAAATAAATAGCCAGGTATTATGTACATACGAATAAAGCCGGCGACATCAGTATTAGGAGCGTGCTGCGGCCAGCGCGAGTACTGCACGTGCCACAAGTGACGAGCTCGTGCGCCGCGACGTACGCGCACACGAACTGAACCGCCCCATTCGGCACGGGACCATTTGCCACACGATACTTGGAACTAGAATGTTAATAAAAAATAATAATTTAGAAATATGTAATAACTAACATATTTCTATATTATATGTACGATATACAAGGCAACCGTGTATGGTGAAATCGCATTGGATAGGCCTTGTCAGTCGTACATACAAGTTAAAAGTATCCATAACCGATGAGCATACATGAAAGTGGATGAAACGAGAGAGGTAGGGACCGTAGCAAGTAGAGATCCATGGTCTCTGCCTACCCCTTCGGGAAAAAGCGCGATGATATAAATAAATATGTAATATAAACCCTATGAAAATAGCTACACAGAAAATGTAGGAATGAGCGTGTCATAGAAATGGTACAATAGTAATAAAAAAATACCGTTCGATATGCTTATTTACTGACGACAACACACTTTAGAAAGTGAATAGATTTCTTTTATCATGATTTTAGGTAAGGACATCCAGAAAGTATAATTAATTTTAGAATATTATTTAACGTGAACAATTAATATAAACACGAGAAGAAGCATCAATCAAGTTAACTGTCATCTTTCAAGAAAAGTGTAGCAACTTCAGAATTAGGACCCCAACTTGTGAATGAAAGATATTCCGTTAAGTCAGTTAAAGTAAGGCGTGTTGGAGTTGAGAACCGCATCCCATTGCGGATTGGTCTAGAGGATGTAGAAAGCGTTCGTAAATTTGTTTAGCTCGGAAGCGGCGTCTGAAACTGGAGGTAAAGAAGAAGACATTACAACCCCGCTTAGCCAGCAGATTAAGCGACGCAAGTGGAAATGGATAGACCACATATTTCGAAGAGATTCCAATCATATCCTCAAGCAGGCTCTTGATCATCAAGGAAAGCGGAAGTGTGGCCGTCCCAAGCAAACTTGGCCTCGTACAGTTGCAGGTGAGGCAAAGAGAGTCGGAAAGACTTGGATCGAGGTAAAAACGAGGCTCAAGACCGAAGGCGTTGGAGACTCACTGTGGACGCCCTCTGCCCCATCTAGGGGTTATAGAACTTGAAGTATATTGAGTTATATTAGATTGGTGTATATGTATTTATAATATTTTCGTACGATAAAAATAAATATGTACACCTGTTTTGATTTATGATAAAAACGCTAATTCGAGAAAATAGTCTTTTTTCAAAGCAATTGGTATGGAAATAAAAATCTCCAAACCTGTCCATAATCCTTGGAGTGATGTTCAGGCGGTAGGTATTGCGGTGAGTCCACATCGACATTGGCAAGGAGACGAGCCCCAACTTGCCACACACACTCCCATACGAGTGCAGCCTGTTCCGAGCCTCCGGATTGAGCTACAACGTAGAATCGCTGGGAGTTACCAACTGTCATCTGTAAGTTGAAATATGGAAATAATCAATAGAACATATATTTTTAGAGATTGCAATTTTTTATAATTTGAGTACAGTGTATTTACAAAATAAATCATGGGAATACTTTTATTAACAGTTGTTTAAAAGTTTCAAGCATCGAAGGTTTGATTATATCAACATCTATTTAATCTTTTTCGTGACGTAGACAGAAAATATTTTTCGCGATTTTTATTACTTTATGTCCCTTAGTAGGACAATTCTTCATAATATATACCTTAATGAGCACAGAGTAAACTAAATTTAGTATTTGAAAGACATATTTTTTAAAATTTGGTTTATATACACTATAATATATAACTACATATTTTAGTTTAATTTTTTGACTCCATTTTTGCCCGTAAAATTTAAATTATAATAATAGATTTTTCCGCGTAAATCCTTTGGAGACATCATCACAAAACGCGTTTAATTAAACAAATAAATATTAATTGCCTGCAACATTTCATTTGCACTTTTACATATTTTAATCACGTTATTGTAAAAATTGAGAATTTTCGAAACCGACCTTTTTTCTATTTTTTAAAACACAAATTATTTTTTTAAAAAGGAAGATAAGGTGTTGATAGCAGTTTGGTTTATAACTTACAGTAACGTGGGAAGCGTTGATATACCCGTGTGGGTTTTCAGCTGTGGGATGTAGTCGCACTCTGTTATCTTCGTAGGGCAAGGAGTCCCCGTTATTATAAGACGCGTATTGCGCTAACAACGCCGTCTTATATTCTCCCTGCACCTCGCGGCCTTTAGGTATTTGTTCGAACGCGAACGATAACTGATCATCACACATTTTACGTTCTAGCAATTGGCACTGGAATTCAAAATAGATAAAATAAAGAACAAAAGATGGAAGAGGCGGTAAGACCGAATAACCAAACAGAATAAAACTGTTCAGCCAATTTAAAAGCGATGACCCGCTCGAGTAATGTATATTAGGTCCTTAATTGCGCTTAAATCAATAAATTGTCACTATGTAAGAAGTTCTAATTGTCAGTTAAATTGATTCAACAAAACAAGCTGCATAAAAAATGTTATGTACGATTTACTTTAATGTTTCAAAAGTGATGATTAGGCAAATGATCAATTTTATAGCTTTTGAAACTTATGCCATATAATAGTATTTGTTATATGATATGACTTGCGATACATTTTGACCGTTAGTTAAAAATTTATTGTCAAATCTCTGTATGTAAACTTTCAATAATAACTCACCAATGTTTCTTTGGTAATACCCGGTGGCAACGGTTGAGTTTTCGGTAGGCCAGTGGACCAGCGATGTTTGTTTGCTTGCTGGCCCGTTTTAGCCCTATCCCGACCCAGCGTAGCGCTCTTTACTTCTGCTTTATTCCCTCGCCCCATAAACATTCCCCACCTTCGTCTCTTCTTTTCTTTATTACTATTCTTACTGCCGTCCAGCTCGACACTAGTGCTGTAAGTCGAGTTCATCACCGAACTCGATAGAGCACTGTCCGTTTGCGATGTATCAACTCTGATATCAGGGATACTTATCGATGTAATGTTATCCACCGATTTGCTAATCGTGTTGTTATTCGATATTTTATGCGTCGACAGACTCTGATAAGGTGTCTCGTCATAATCCTTTTCATCTGTTTTTATCGACAACTTATCAATATTTATAGCGTTATCGATGTCTTTGTTAATCGATGGACTCGAGACATTCAGATCTTTGGGCACACTCGATTCTCGCACACCTTTAATGATATGTGCGTTAACATAATGGCTGTCGTCAATTTTGGGTGTTAAGTTGACGTTGTTGTAGTTATTTATCGCAGGGTGACTGCTGTTTTTCTCGTTTAAACGGCTGATTTCATCTGTCGTGGTTAAGCTTTGTGCTCGTTCGCGGATCTTTTGTTCGCTCTGCCACGGCAGAGGCACGTTTTCATATATCGGTTCTTGTGTTTCGCTGTGTTTGTGCGGTAAGACTAGATGCGTCTGATAGGATATCCGTCTCATAGGCATGGAGTACATTATGTTGCCTCTCTCGTCGTATACCTTCTGTATGTTATCGGAGATGTGGTGTGGGTCCATTATGATGTGAGGATTGGGGTCTAAAACCGAAGGAAGGTTGTTGTAGGTCCCGTGTGTGGCTGGAAGTATGTTCGGGCGGCCATAGCCGAGGACGTGCCCGGGATTGACGTATCCGAGATACTGCCTATTGAGGGCTGTTCTCGTAGAGACTAGATCGGGACTAGAGCCAGACACGTGGGAGTTGATGTATCCCCGGTGGTAGTTCAGGGCTTGGCTGGCGACGGCTAGGTCAGGGGTAGAGTTTGACGCTAAGCCGTTAGAAGGGTAAGGAGGTGGTGGTTTGTAGACATTGACATAGTGCAGAGCGTGGTCTGCTTGTACGTTAGGATTGAGGGCGATGGGATAATTGGCGAGATATTTTATGCCGTAAGCATAATCTTCCGCGGGTGGCGGATTGACGGGTCCCGTGTGTCGTGTCACGTCAGGGTAGTGGACTCGATGTATGTCGGGATGGGAACCATAAACCAAAGGCTGAGCACTGGTGCTGAGGAGTTGGGAGTGGGTGTGGTGGTTCTGGTATCGGAGCTGAGCCTCGGCTCGTTGTTGTTGATACTTTTGTTGTACCGCGGTCTCATAGTCCGGTGCGGGACGGTAAGATGGTAACAAAGCCCTGAAATAATTATTTCAAATATGACAGCAAATGTATAGACATTTAGTACTTTACTAATTAAAAAAGTTTTACTGCTAACTACTTTAATTAGAACATGTTAGTGTTAACAATACAAAAAATGTTTTTTTTTATAACAATACATAGGATTGAGACGATGATTAAAAGTCCCACTTTTTGTATCTCTATGTACTGAGACACCTTAATGCGAGGAAATTTTGATATTTTTGAAGCAATCATTTTTTGCTTTTTTAATACACCACTATCCTACAGAAGCGGTACAATTTTCTATATGAATAAACATTTACCTGTTCCTTGGCTGCGGACGATTCTCAGCGAGCTCAAGACACGACGTAGAGTGAGCCCGATGTGCGGCGCTCAACGGCTCAAGGTGGGACGTACTGCCCACCTCTCGCACATCCAACTCTTCACGACTCTCCGACAGACCATGCTCCTAAATATTAAAAGAAGAATTCGGGCTAAGTTCATAAGATCACTAAGGCGTGATAAGGCCGCATGTTACACTATTGAAGCTGATGCTCTACCAGAATTCAAAACCTCTACAGTAATTTTCTACATCTTTTTATTTATTCATTTGCTTTTCCAAGATAATTTAATATAATATAGATTGAACTAATAAGGTATTTTACATTACGGTTCTTTATTTAAGATGCACTTCATAAGAACAACACAAGCAATGCGCGTTTCGTTTGAATGAGTAATAACCGTAGCATAAGCAAAAAGTGCATTCACATCGCGCAGATAATTAGCAGCGCCATTGCACTTGAAACTCGAACGCGGTTGCAAATAACACAATTACAATTCTATTCCTGCCAACGAACAGTTTTCAGAACATCATTAATCAGTTATGGCTTGATGGGATCCGATAATAGCAGTTTCATTAGCCTCAATGGTTTCCCATTAAACACATTAATTTGCCTCTTAAATGATAGTACACAGAAAAGCCTGGTTGCAAGGGATTGGGTGATTATGTCGCTTAAATAAAACTATGACGGTCAAAGATTCGTAATTTTTTCTACGTACCAGACTTTCCAAACCACTAAAAGACTTCATACAGGACTTGTAATCACAATAATCAAATGAACAATACACGAGACAGAGCGTCTAATCGTGAATAGTTTTTTATCGAGAGCAATTATCACTTTCGCGGTGACGCGATGTTTGTAAACTTTTCTCATGAGAGCGATAAATAACGGATCGTTAATAAAGAAATGATACACAGATGCTCATTAGTATTGACAAATACATATTTTACGAATTTTTCTATTGGAAAATATAGAAATTAACCAGTGTTCTATGGGCAAGATTCAGTGAAGTGCCTTAAACTAAAAGTATAAGTCACTTCAATATTTCATGTTACTGTATATTAGTTAAAACAAGGTTTTATTTTAATCTTAAAAGCGTATTAATACCGAAAATATCTTTGATACAAAAAAATCTTAATGATGATTTATTCGAAAGGCATAATGGAGGTCTGAAGAAAGAACACTAGCGATTGAGTTATCTTGAGTATTTATCGTGTTTATCGAAAAGAATGCGGAACGACATGTATATTTCACGCTATCATGTAATGTATTATTAAATGGTGAAAATCATTTACTTAAGTAAATAGTGAAAATAGCTCGTCTTGCATGCAGTGGCATTGATTGACTATGTAATTACCAAGACTTAGCACATTGTTGTAAATTTAATGTATGACAATAATAGAAAACGAAGTGCATTTTATATACATATCACGTATTGGGTAATGAAAATTTTCAATTATGATTCAGATTACTTTTTCTCTACCGTTATTTTAAATTCCGTGTAGGACGGCGGTGACATTTTACGTCTGTTTCATTGATTTTAATAATCTGTCATCTGTACCTGACACACATGGATTTTTAAATCTAAGTCATAGGAATGTCTTTATGACGTTAAGGTCTATGCACGACCGAGTTCAAAGGTAAGGCGTAGGGGTGAATATCGCACGATTACCCACTAGTATGCTAGTACTGAATAAATTTTTTCTTTCGGCAAAGCTCGTTCTGTTACGGTCGACATTAAGAAATTTAAATTTAGATTGTATGATTTAACACTGTTTATGAATATCCTAAAGAAAGCTATTCCCTTACCTACTTTTCATACTGAGAAAAGAGCCAACATTAAAAACATAAATTACTTAAGGACCGGAAGGCTAATGTACAATGTGTAATAAACCTGCCCGACAACACGAGACGCGTGTGAATGCGTAAAAATAAACACATATATGAGTTAGTCGTAATCTCTTAATCTGTTTAGTACCAAACTGGATAAAACTATTAATTCAAGGTTAATTTTGGGCTAGTGCGGCCCACCTATAAGGATAATGTGTCAAGATTATAATCGTATAACTGCGGAAGTTAGTGATAACCGCTGGGTTCTGTCAGATGAACGTTTAATGAGACGTGGATAATTAATATTTAACGTGAGAATATTTTACAGTTCTTACTAACCGATTGTTAATAGATTATGTTTTATTAATGAACTGGCGGCAAAATGTAAGACAAACAACAGTCCAAACTAGGCGTTGTCCGTGTTGTCTTTTAGGTATAAATTACATTACCGGTTACTAGAAATGTTTAAAAATAAAAGATCGATTGATTTATTAATCCGTAATGAGGCCATGTAAGTCGGATAATATTAAACGTCACGTAATTTTAAAAATATTGACTTTTATTTTGTAAGTCAAAAAAAAAAAAAAAAAAAAAAAAAAAAAAAAAAAAAAAAAAAAAAAAAAAAAAAAAAAAAAAAAAAAAAAAAAAAAAAAAAAAAAAAAAAAAAAAAAAAAAAAAAAAAAAAAAAAAAAAAAAAAAAAAAAAAAAAAAAAAAAAAAAAAAAAAAAGTAAATTGCCGTGTTAGGCCTTTAAATGACATTGAAAATGGATCAATTACCAACGAATTACAATATTAGAGTTATTTAATTGAAATATTTTTTAATTGGTTAAAATGTTATTTAACAAGAACTATCGGTTACTATATTGTCAGATTTGGTAAATTAGACTCTGAAACTTCAGTCTTGGGCCACTCGTGTATATCACAACTCTTTATCATGAATAGCGTATCATAATAATATTTCAGTTCTGCTTGTATTATTTTCGTTAATAAACAAGCCTTCTTCGCCTGAGACACGACCTTTAAGAGTATATATTGGAACCTTATATTTTCGACTATATCGAAAATATAAGATTAGGTTTTCACCACATTTTACTTTCACCACATTGAACGAAAATACCTTGGTGAAAAGATGGGATAGCTCACACACTCATTGGTCACAATGAACAACGTTATAAAGTCACCTGAAACTTGGGCCGGTGCTCGTCTCTGGGAGCACTGAGGGCAGCTTGGTGTCGCATGTAGAACGTATGTTGGTGTACGCACATACGCCACACGTACTTTCCATCCTCCGGTGATGGTAAGGCGAATGCGGCGGACTCGCCTTGCTTCTGGCACTCTATACTAAATGTGCGTTTGTGGTTTATCACATTGGTGATGTCCATCCACCTAAATAATGATTTAATATATTAAAGGAATGTCTGTCCCGAGGATATTCCCTATAGTCAAAGTAAGAATGGTAAACCATTTTTTTGTGATTGTGATGAAATTCGAAACGTAAATAAAGTAATAAATTTGCGTTAATATCCGTTAAAGGCAATAAAACTCGAAATGTATAGTACTCGCGTAAACCAAGGCAATTATTGATTTATTGATTTAAATGAATGGATATTGCTAAGAGACATAGTACGCTCAGTTCACTTGATGATGTAAGAGTTCAGCTCAATCAAGCAAGCTATCATATTGAACTGCATAAATGTGATATTGTTGGAATTGGATAATATATGAGTATGATGATCTTTTTAGGTTTCCAAACATGTGTGCTAAAGTTAGAACATTGTTATCATCGAAAGATTTATCATAATCCGTTCGATTCTACGGGAGATATATATACAAAATGTATATTATATTAGGCTGGCTACCCAAGGCAAAAATAATGTTACAGTATTTGAAGTCAGTTTTATATTCTTGAATTTCTCAATAAATATTTACGTGAGTACCATATTACAGTGTTAAACGCGATTAATTATGGAAATATTGTTAATTATGTGAACAATTTGTGATCATATAAGCAAACATACACCAGCAAGGCAGGGGAAACAAATTGTGCTTCCAAAAAGGGAAATTACCTATAAAAGTGTGGTGTATCACTTGTATCCGTTAGTACTCTTATTCCAGTGAGTGAAATGGCGATAGTCACTTCACTCTGGTCCCGCTGGTCCTTGGCAACAAACATTTCTTGTCCATATCCCCGTAATTGCTGGCATGTTGTTATGAACCCTTCTTCTGCCTGAGCCTATTTACATATTTTTATTATAAAATCATCAAAGCAGGTTTCAAAACTAAGCAAGTATAAAAAAGAAAGTATTTAGGTCAATTCAAAATATTTAACAGTAGGCGTTTGTTTCTTCATTTTATTTATTTATATTTAAAAAACCAAATGGTTATAGTATTACCCATGTACATTTAATATTTAAAACATATTTAATGTTTAAAAACTTTGTGTGCTGATTCTAAGTTGTAATCTCACTGATAACTGATAAACACATTCAGTGTGCAATCAATGACTAATTATGAGATAACTAACAAATTTTTAATCAACCTTTCCTATATATTAGAATATTTAAATTGTTAAAATTTAACTTTATCTTACACAAATTACCCTCTATTAAAATTATTATGTAAATTTGAATTGATAAGATGCAAATTATTAAAATTACATTAGTAAATTTATAAATAATATATAAACAAATTAATGTGATTATAATGAATTTTTATCACTTCAGTAAGTAGTTAAATAGAAAGTTCTATTATAATACATGTTATCTTTTTAAAATGTCAATTTTCCAGACATGTTATGAATACATAATTTTGTCAACATATATCATATAGTACATGTTCAAGTAATATTATTATTTTAAATATAGTTAATTTACTACCAGGCCAAGTCAATATTAAAACAGAAATCTTACCTGTGGCATATTATGTAAAGACATATGATGTTGTATTACAGCAGCAGTTAACCACTCCAGACGACCTATCTCTGCTAAACTACTACTGTCTATAATCTGGCCATTTTCTAACATTTGCTTAGGAAATGTGAGCAAATTCTTTAAATATTCCACAGTATGCCTTTCACGGTCATGATTCCCATATTCAGCTTGTCTGCTATAAGATGCCAAAACCACTGCTTGCTGACAATCACAAATGATCCTGCCCTCTACTAGGTCATTTTTCAATTGTAAGAAGTAATGGTACCTTGTTACTTCATCGGTTATAAGGCTTGTACCAGATATCACATAGTACATGACACGCAAGTAAAGCTGGTGGGCCGAGGAGTACTTCTCTAGCTGCCGCTTGAGAGGCCTGTCTAGTTGAACCCATCGCGGCTGCTGACTGCGGTTTACGTAACGCAAACCAAAGAATTCTGGCTGATTTATTGCCTGTCTTTGGCACACGTTGTCCAGACACTCTTGTCCTGTGCTGTCCACAGACAGGGTACAATCTGCAACACCCCCATCGAGTAGCTCAACACTTATTACAAACAAACTTTTAGATGCAACGTTATATTGTCGCGTCTTCTTCAACTTCAACTTGAAAGGCATCCTCTGACATTAACCGGGACCAATTAGTAAAAACATCACGAAACTAGCGTTACGTTATACATTTATGGAAAAAGAATGTTGGAAAAAATGCTTCCGTTATGCGCGACACATATTTTCTATTACTAAGGATATAAGTAAATAAAGTTCTGAGAGCGATGATCTAAAGTAAAGTTTACTGCCAGTCACGAATCCGCTGTTATAATAAAACCGAGAAAAAATGAATGTAAATAGAAATAATAAAATCAAAATAAAAAATTCACAACATTGCGGCCTTCCAACACTTATGAATGATGACAAATATGAACTTAGAACTGTCAACGAATACTTGACGTTGACACAACAATAACGGAAGATAGAAACGGCGGCGTTTTCAAATATTTTCCTTTGATTTTAAGACACAATATTATAATAATAAGTAGATAGTTTTTTAACCATTAGAAAAAATTGGTGGTAGATGTTTTCTATAAAACCAATACTTATTTATAACGTTTGATACATCTTATTTTACATCTCTAGACATATTTTAGAATAATACTTCAAAAAAAAAAAAAAAAAAAACTATTTTTCTTATAAAAAACTATGGTTCTTCAAAACTATTTTTTTTTTTTTTTTTTTATGTAATAGGAGGCAAACGGGCAGGAGGCTCACCTGATGTTAAGTGACACCGCCGCCCATGGACACTCACAATGCCAGAAGGCTCGCAAGTGCGTTGCCGGCCTTTCAAAAATTGGTACGCTCTTTTCTTGAAGGACCCTAAGTCGAATTGGTTCGGAAATACTTCTGTGGGCAGCTGGTTCCACATAGTGGTGGTGCGCGGCAAAAACTGCCTTAGAAAACGCTCTGTTGTGGAACGACGGACGTCGAGGTGATACGGATGGTATTTTGTATTTTGCCTTGACGTCCGTTGATGAAACTCAGCTGCAGGTATTAGACCGAACAACTCCTCTGAACACTCTCCATGGTAAATGCGGTAGAAGATGCAGAGAGATCCCACATCTCTACGCAACGCCAAGGGATCAAGCCGCACGGAAAGTGACTGGTCGTCGACGATTCGAACCGCTCTTCGTTGAATACGGTCAAGTGGAAGGAGCTGGTACTGGGGAGCTCCCGCCCAGAGGTGAGAGCAGTACTCCATATGGGGCCGAATTTGCGCTTTATATAGTTGCAAGCGGTGGCCCGGAGTGAAGTACCGTCTCGCCTTGCTGAGCACACCAAGCTTTTTGGAGGCTAATTTAGCCTTTCCTTCCAGATGACCGCGAAACTGAACGTTATTCGATATGTCAACGCCCAGTATTCCGATGCTAGCTGAGGCTTTAAGGAGAGTGTCTTCAAAGAGGGGAGTAGCGACAAAGGGAGTTTTTTTAGCGGAAAACGCGCAAACTTGTGTCTTCTTGGGGTTAAATTGGACTAGATTTAGTCTACCCCAGTCCGAGACTCCACGTAGAAGAGTTTCGACTTCAGACACAAGTTTGTTCCGGTACTCATCGACAGCAGCCCGAGAAATACCTGCCCGGCCAGTGTAAAAAGTATCCCCAGTGCTGTCGTCCGCATAGCAATGAATGTTGCTAAGCTGCAACATATCATTGATATGCAGAATAAACAGGGTCGGGGATAGGACACAGCCTTGTGGGACACCAGCATTCACAGGTTTCAGGTCGGAGCATGCTCCGTCGATGACGACTTTGATGCTCCGATCAGCGAGAAAGCTGGAAATCCAGTTGCATAATTTCTCAGGGAGCCCATAGGCTGGAAGCTTCGAGAGCAGTGCTCTGTGCCACACCCGATCGAAGGCTTTCGCTATGTCCAAACTTACCGCCAGCGCCTCCCCCTTGGACTCAATTGCCTCTGCCCACCTATGTGTAAGGTATACAAGGAGGTCACCAGCTGAGCGACCACGACGAAAGCCGTACTGAGAATCGCTAATCAGCTGGTGGCCCTCTAGATACCTCAGGAGCTGGCTGTTAATAATGGTTTCCATTATTTTGGAGAACAAGGAGGTTATAGCTATTGGGCGATAGTTGGACGGATCAGAGCGATCGCCTTTTTTAAGGATCGGATGTATCGAAGCGATCTTCCAGCACTTCGGAACAGTGCCGAGCGTGTAAAGGTACCGGAAAAGGCGCGTTAGAACCGGAGCCAACTCAGGAGCACAAGTACGCAGCACAATTGGAGGGATGCCATCGGGCCCGCTCGACTTATGGATGTCCAAGGAAGACAAAGCTTTACGGATAGCACGTTGCCGGAATATAACTTCGGGCATCGTAGTATCACACCGCAATAATGTCGGTGGTTCATTCCCTTGATCATCCAAAGTGGAGTTCGACACAAAGAGACAGCCTAGAAGATCGGCCTTCTCTTTCGCGGTATGGGCCAGTGAGTCATCCTCCCTATGCAGTGGTGGAATTGAGGGCTGACAGAAATTCCCTTGGACAGCTTTGGCAAGAGACCAGAAGGCTCGAGTTCCCGAAGGGAGGTGGGCCAATTTTTCACCAAATCTGGCAATGTGCTCTGACTTTGCTTTAGTGATTTCTCGCTTGAAGGACCTGGAGGCTGAATTGTATGCTTTTTTACGTTCGCCGATAGTCACATCACAGGATGTCACCGCTTCTGCCCAGGCTTTAAAGCATTCACGCTTACGGCGCAAAGCCGCTTTGCAAGAACGCCTAAACCAAGGCTGGGACTTGCCACCGACCGGCACCGCAGAGAATGGAATAAAAAGTTCCATACCCTGCAGGACCACCTCGGCGACAGAGTCAGCGACGGCATCTGGAGTACTCGACGAAAAGCAAATGGGCCCCCAAGGGTAGGACGCAAAAAAGACCGCATCCCATCCCAATCTGCTGACTTATAGTGCCACACGCGGCGACAGCCCGTGAACCTAGGCCGAAGAGGGCGCGTGAACGGCACAATGCTCCGGACCACACAATGATCTGATGAACCAAATTTATGGCTCTGGTACGATTTGTGCATTAGCCAGCGTCAAGTATAGGATTTTTTTATAATTCGTGCTTGTCTTTAGAAATTCGACCGTGTCCTACATGTACGGTTTAGGCACTCGCCCGGTACCGCACAACCCTCCCAAAGGCCGAGAACAAATTTAAATTAAATTAAAATTTGCCCTCGAACCGGGAATCGAACCCGGTACCCCTCACCTAGCTGCCACTTAATAAGACCGCTAGGATATGAGGCCCCTAAAACTATCATTAGATAAAATTTAAATTTTACAAATTAACCAAAATTAACATTATTATTGAAAAACTGCTACCCTTATTCTAATTGGAATGCAAATAATGTAGTAAACAAATGAAATAAAATCAATATAAATTCTTTATTCTTTTTGTATATTAGATATAATACATATAATTTTCCTCTGATACTGTACAAATCTGATATCACAACCTTAAACAAATGGATATTTCACAATAAGTAATGTAATGGATTATGATGCTCATAATTGCATGCTTATGAATGCATACATCACAATACCTAAGCAGTAGCTCGGGCTTGTTCTATTTGAAGCCAGTCTCGTGGCTCCTTTAATACCTTCATAAGACTGTGCTCTGGGGTATTTGGTTTAGGTTCATGCATATACTCCCATTTCTAAAAATAAATTTTAAAATGTATAAATTATTATTATTATAACAGACAGAAAATCACTTATATGGGCTTAACAAGATTATTTTGAATTTGAGCTGACTTAAAGCGCAGTTAGTTTGAGGCTTACCGCATTCAATGGTAATGACATCAATATGGATTCATATCGCGCTTCAGGAGTGAAAAGGCCAAATTTCGTTCCTCGATCATAAATCAGATTGAATTCGACGTATCGTCCCCTACGGAGTAACTGCCATTGCCTCTCGTAGTAACCATATGGATCGTCTTTATGCTTTTGTACTAAAACACAAACATTTATTTAATTTTTTCTAGGCTAGTAGATGATTAGTCATCTTTGCATACCAATCGGGTCGGTCAGGATCGATAGAATTTTGTTTGTATGTTGCATACCTATAGAAAACTTTATTACTATTAAGTATAATAATAGATTACTCTACTTGTAACTACTTCAGTAAATACCTTACATCTAAAATTAAGGACCAATTTTTTTTTTATGGCAATACATGTTGTGAAATTTTAGGGCCGGCTAAATATATATATATATGTATACATATAGTGCGCTAGATTAAGTTGTCTGATAAAGTATTGCTATTGAATAAGATTTTACAAGTTAGAATTATGAAATAACAATGATACCTAATGGAATGTAACTGGGAATGACAGCCTCAGCGCAAGAGGTAACAAAGTCAAAAGCGCTTTGCTGGTTGGGCTGGTCCACGTCGTCAAAGAATATACCTCCCACCCCTCGACGCTCGCCTCGGTGAGTTATTGTGAAGTAGTCATCACACCACTTCTTAAATCTGCCCAAATAAATATACTATTTTCAAATAAAATATACCATTTTAACTACAATAGTATTATTTTGATTTATTATTTGCCATCTAGCTGAAGTCTATAGTCTATAGATAAATGTAACATTTACAAAAGTACAAAGGCTAGTAAGTGTTTTGCACTATGCCATAATAGTATAGTATAGGTTTACCTTGCATAATATGACTTATCATGTCCGTCACAAGCATGTTTTAATGTAAGATGAAAGTGGACAGCATCTTCTTCATTCAGGTAATAAGGTGTCAAATCCGTACCACCACCAAACCACCACTGTACACCTGAAAGACCACCTTATTAATATCATATGATAAAAAAATTAACAGTGGTGTACAATCCTTGCTTTCTGCCACAATTTCTGTATCTATTTAGTGATCCTTTTTATTCTTAGTTGGTAAGTAGGTGATCAGAATAAAAATATTTTGGAACACATCCAGAGTCAACAGATCTTATAATTAAAATAATTAAGATAATTTTTTGTAATTATAATGAGGACTTAAAGAGTCAATATTAAATGTATTTCATTAAAATAATTAAGGTTACCTATCATTAAAAGAATATTATTAAAAATAACCTTTAACACTAATTATTCGTTTTTAGGTTGCATGTTAGAGCAATATTACCAAGGTCAGAAATATAATTAGATTGTAGTTTTACAATTAATTAAATAGATTAAGATACCATTTTTGTCTTGTACTTCAAAGTATCTGTAGTTGAAGTGTATTGTGGGGACCATTGGGTTACGAGGATGAATAACAGCACTCACTCCAGCTGCAAAGAATGGGAGTTCTTGTCCATCAAAACTTTTTCCCCTGAAATTAAAATTATAATATAAATATTCCTATTTTATTTAAATATTTATATTTATAAAATAATACATAACTATAGTTATAAACAATATTAACACGAGAGCCATAATGCCAAATGAAGGTACTCAACAATTGCAGTGCTGATATTCAGTTCTTATAATATAAAGTGACATGTGAATATATATATATTTGATAAGGTCAAAATCTTATGAATATCCTAATCCTCACTAATTTTACCTAGTTCTCATTTGTTGTACTGCAGCTGGAGGCAGTTTTCCAGACACCACAGATATATTTACACCAGCCTTTTCAAACACCCTTCCATCCTGTAGTACACATGTGATTCCCCCACCACCTTCTCTACGAGTCCATCTATCTACTTGAAACTTCGCTTCCTGTAGATTTTAATAAGTAACAAACAATAACTTTTTTTATTCAGGTCAGACTCACTATTCTCCTGATTAATAGTAATATTTTATAATTTATGAAATGCGCAATAATGTACCCAGATAGTAAATGATACTAAAACATCGGTTAAATTTAAAATTATGAAAAATAATTGTGAATACATAACTTCAATCCGTTAAAAAATTGTTTTATTATTAATAAAGAATATGTTTTGTTTTAAACTACACCATCCCAATCTTCATCTGTTTCCACTGGCTTAAAAAATCTAGTAGACTAATAATTCTTGCCTCTATTCCTCAAATATTACTATGTTTAAATGCATACCGGGTATGGCACAAACATGTCACTGTCATAATCTAAGTCTTCATCTCTCTTTTCATCACACCACGCCTACAATAAAAATTAAAAATAGGATTCCTGGTACAACAAACAATGGAGCCACTTTTAAAATCTATTAGCATCAATTAAAGATAAATAGAAATTTACCTCACTTTGAGTTGCAACAAACTAGAAACGGTCATTGTGACTTTTTTCTCTTTACTCACCTCATCTTCTTCTTTTTCCAATGCTCTACAAAACTCTGATTGAATTCTCATAATAAGTAATTCCATTTGTGTTTTCATATCATCTTGTGTTTTTTCCAAGTGACTGATTGGAGTTATTGGGTCTGCCATATAATTCTTTAACTGTAATATTTCCTTCATTTCTACTTTATTTGCTTTGTGTTGCTTGTAAGCCATGTAGCCAACACCAATCACAGCTGCACAGTACATCCTAAATTCATAACGAAATAATGTAGTCAACCTACTTTTGGAATTAATAACTCGGTCTCATGCAATATACATAATGAAGGTTAATATATGTATCAAAAGTAAAACCAGAAATATCAGAACTAGTTTTTAAGTAATATTAAAAACTGCGTTGGTATCTTTTATGTGATATTCGTATTTATCTGATAAAGAACGTAGTCTTGCTTAAATCCAATTTTGAAATAATCTGTTAAGCAATTATAACAAATACCATACCAAATAAAATTAGGTAACATAGTACTAAAAATTAAAACATTGGATAGTTCGACTTTAGTTAGGACTATTTAAATTATTAACTATTTGCATGATCCATTAAACTTACTTTATGTGTCGATCTCTCAGTTTCTTATACCCTTCAACATAAGTGAGGGTTTTAAAACTTCTTATCGCTATTTTAAACGACATACTTGTTATATTTGGGCTGTATCTAGGAAAATGTAAATAGAAATTAAGCACAAGGAGTTAGCACTTGTCATACCCCTTGACCACAACCCACAGGTAACAGAACTTATTACTTATAAGCAAACGACAGGACACAGTTTAGCAATTAAGCACAGAAGTGAGTAATATGCTAGGTCATCACTCTTACACTGACAATACATATAAATTATCTATTTGACAATCTTGACTTCTGGAGTGTTGAGTGACACATGACAATGACAACTGTTTGTTTATTTGTTTCAACAATAAAAAGGGATATTGTATGAAGTGAGGAAAGTGGTTTTTATTTTATTTCTCCAAATATATATTCAATAGTATTAAACACGTCTACTACAACTACGACTACTATACTTCGTTAGATAGATTAAAGCTTCTCATTAGTCATTATTTAGCCAAAACTATTCTTAATTTTAACATTTAATTAGTGAAGTGTACATATTTGTACTATCTAAAGATTTAAGATAAATAGTGTAATATCTTATGAAGTCTTTACTCTGTGGTATTGTGTGTTAACTGCTACCATACCGTCTTTAACAGTTGTCATAACAGCTCTCAGCAATGTCGACTGTCGGAGTGTTTGCCAGCGTGCGTCCCGCAAGAAGACAGGCGTAGTTTGTAGTAATAGTCAATGGGAAAACATGTCTATTGCATTGCAGTATAGTTATCTCTTTCTATTGCACGTTCTTTTGAAGTGATTCGCAAAGTTCGTCTCTTTCTTGCCAATACCCGACTTGCGATAGCTTGTTAGAATTGCCAGTGATTACATTGTGTGCAGTGCGCGTGTGTCGTCGTTTCCATATCGATCGGTAGCCAGACCGCATTGCTGTACATTCCGGAGGCGGTGCCTCGCCTAGTTTTCGTCGCTCCTCGAAGTGACGGACGCGTGTCGGCGTCGGCGGCGGCCCGGACGGCCCTGCGCAGTAACAGCGCGGGAGACAGCGACTCTCTTCTGCCAAATCAGACTCGCTGTCCGCGGCGGACGGCTGTGATGTAGCCGGGGCCGGAAATCGGCCTTCGGACAAAGGAATCGCGATACTCGATTCGCGATGAAGAAGTTCACTTTCAAGGGGGTTCTGGACGGGTTCCGTAGCTCGGTGCAGGCTGCTCCGCGCGGGAACGATCAGGAGATTCAGGAGACGCTGCGACCTGAGCATTTCCAAGTAAAAAAGGTTAGTAGTGTATTTTCTTTTAGTCTAGACTGACATACTTATGGAGCTGTTCGCCTGTCGCAGGAAAAGTGAGTCGCGTGCACAATGTTGTGTAAACTTTACAGTCCGTTGACACGACAATAACTCTACGCACTAATGAATTAAGTACGTTTTGAGTTTGTGTTCAGCATGCAGCATGTCATCAATATCAATAAAATTATACGAGTTCGTGGTTCTAATAAGATTACGTCAGTGTTCTTGGCCGTGTCATCTGTTAGCGCAATCAACATAATCTTCTTAATTCTTATCCCAGTTATGTGAAATTTCAGTCGCACAATAAAGCTCGTTGGTTGCAGAATTACGCTGATATTGAACTGATAACAGATAAGATAAATGCACGTAGTTAAAATACGCAAATTGCGTTGTGGTCTTCAATTAGCTTTTTACCTTTTGATGAAGAATATCATATAGAATGTGTAGGTTACTAAAGACCTATTAATTGTTAGTAAAAAAAGCCATTAAATGTTGGTTCCTAATTTCAGATGGCAACACAAAGTTTAGACGTTATCTTGTGATTTCATTCCCTTGCTTTCGCTGGCTTTTTTTTATTGTCCTACCTAATATTTGCTCGATAACAGCATATCATAATCAAACTAAAGCATCAAAGCATATAAGCTATAAACATCGCTGTTCTTAATGAATCGATAATAAAAGGTCTTCAACTGTGATTGCGAGTACCTAATAAAGCAGGAATATCTCGAGAGATAAGTAATTACACCGGCTTAGAATTCCATTAGGCAACTAGGTCAAGGATCACAGTTTTATTGTCCCCTTGACTGAAGGAAAACTTTTAATGGCTTCATACGCAACTGTTCTCGCGACGTCAAGTTGTCCATTACTTCATAATTATTTAACTTAAAGATCTACTGGAAGTAGATGTAACTGCATTTTACCTGAGTCTTCCCTAGTTATTTATAACATTGTTGTCGAAATGTTTCATCGAAATATGACGTGGAAAATAAACAGCATTTCCTACTGTTAAAAGAAGAAAATATTTATTGTGCAGTTTTTTCTACAGACTAACGATCGATCGTTCACACAAGTTCACAAAAGTCCTCTTTATAACGAAGACTTGGAGTCAAGTTTCAAAGAGGTTTAACCATTGAATGAAAAAATTCAATATTTTCTGTAAATTGGATGCCTGCCGGCCGGCTATCCAGTTTCAGGAAAATTTGTGTGAAAAATCTTTTGTAAATTATTGCCGGTGCTCAGTAACTTTTTAATTTAACCGTCGGAAATTATTCAGTTGGACCCTTTTTCGTCTCAGCCCATAATAATATTTCTTATCAACTTTTTAATCATATAGTAGATAAAATCAGTAAAAAAAAAGCTTTAAATCCACCTATCGGTAACTTTACGATATTCAATTTATGTATAACATATTAATATTCATTAAATTCACGTACTTACCCTTCACTTTTACACCATCATACAACACAACCAAATTAGGTACCACTTAGATAAACGTATTGAATAGTTTTTATTTGTTTGTTTCCTTTTATAAATTCTTGAACCATTTTGTAGTTAAATGTATTATTATGTATTCCATATTTGGCTATATTTTTAATGTAACTGTTTGTTATTGTATATAATTTATGTTAGCTGTAGGTTTACAAAATAAATAAATAAATAAATAAATTCTCATTTTTGGTATCGTTAATACCACGAAAGGGAATTGATGGAAAAAAAGATTAAATGTGTTGTTCGCCATCGTTTACCTATTTTATAAACGTATGTTTAGTAATGTGTGTCAAGTTTAAGATAAATTCTGAGGTTAAATCTAAACACAGGAATCCGTTTTATTTAAAACCTTTTGAAGACATGAAGGGCGGTGGCTTGTAATTTCCCTATGTTTTATTTATGCAAGTATCACACACGTACGAGATAATACAGTTTTACGGGTTGAAGCTGGGTTGAATCTAATCTCAATTTTTAAATTTAAAACTGTTCTATCGGTCAACCTTACATGCGAAACGTAGGCACTATTTTATAATTATAAACGCCAAATAATTTTAATGGCGTACAAATAACGCTGTTTCCTGTTAAAAAATCTTAAAATCTGTAACTGGTCGATGTGTTTGTAGTGTACGCATATATTAGGACTAACCTTCTAAAAAGGCCACATATCATTCTCTGCATTACATTAGTCAACGAAATCCTTAGGTTATTAACAAATCTATATTTTGTGGTCCCTATTTATGTTGAGTGAACGGATAAAAAGTCTGCTAAAAATATTGTTAGTGCCTATAATAATTAGTTTTTAAGTAAATTTCTTTAGCTTATTTTTCCTAATTTATTTATTTATTATTTGCTCATCAGTATTCCTACAGCTACTTATTATACAATATCTAATCAATTATATTATACACAAAAGCAAAAAAACTGAATACACATTCAAACATAAACATAAAACGCAGTTAACAATTATTACCTACTTAAAAAAATTAATATATACATAAATATAATTAATTATAAGATGCATTGATCATTATAATAATAGGTTGGGGAAAAAGTTTCTTCGCATTTTTCAAGAAAATTCACAACATTTTTTAATAAAGTTTATTTACATTGAACTAAAGTATGTAGGTACCATTTTGTTCGATAACTTTTTGCCATCTTGTAGGTATAGATATGATCCCATTGCTATAGAAATTTTGGGGTTTCTGATCTAAATACCGCGACAATTGGTTTTGGCAGTCCTCTCGTGATGTTAACCTGACACTGCCTAATGAATTCTGAAAAGACCGAAACAGGTGGAAATCTGAAGGTGCAAGGTCAGGTCTATACGTCGAATGCATTAACACCTCCCAGCCAAGCTCTCTTAATTTTTGCTGAGTGGCTAAAGATGTGTGAGGTCTAGCGATAATATGATGAAAAACCACACCCCTTCTGTTGATTTATTTCGGCCGCTTTCTCTCAACTTCTTGCTTTAATCTCATCTGTGTTTCGCAGTAGAGTTCAGAATCGATGGTCCTGCCTGGTGGTAACAGCTCATAATGAATAATGCCCTTTCAATCCCACCACACACACAGCATCACCTTGTTGCGAGTTAACCCGGGTTTCGCCACCGTCTGTGAAGCCTGCCTTTGACCACGACCTTTTTCGCACGTTCTTGTCGTACGTGATCCACTTTACATCATCAGTTATCAGCTTCTTCAAAAATTTTTTGGTTTCATTACGTCGTAATAAAGCATCAAAAATGAGTATACGGTCCATTAGGTTTCTTCCAGTGAGCTCGTGAGGTACCCAAATATCGAGCTTTATTGTGTACCCAGTTTTTTTTCAAATACGCCAAAACTGTTTTGTGGTCAATTCCCCGATGCGGGGGGGGGGGGGGGGGGGGGGGGGAGAAAAAAAAAAAAAAAAAAAAAAAAAAAAAAAAAAAAAAGGGGGGGGGGGGGGGGGGGGGGGGGGGGAGGGAAAAAAAAAAAAAAAGGGGGGAAAAAAAAAAAAAAAAAGAGGGGGGCCCCCCCCCCCCAAAGAGGGGCCCAGAAAAAAAAAAAGGTGTTTTTTTTTTGGGGGGGGTTTTTTTTTTTTTTTTGGGGGAAAAAAAAAAAAAAGGGGATTTTTTTTTTTAATTCCATTCCCCTGGGGGGGGGGGAAAAAAAAAAAAAAAAAACCCCCTCTTTATAAATAGGGGGGGGGATTTTTTTTTTTTAAAAATCCCACCTTTAAAGGAAAAAAAAAAAGCAAAAAAAATATTTTTTAGCCAAAGAGATTTTATTACAAGTTCATACATAGAAAATGCGAAAAGACTTTTTCCCCAACCTAATATATTTAGTATAAAGTGGAATAACAACGACTAATTCATTTCTCATGATTTTTTTAATTCGGTTAGGATTTGTGGATATTATAAATAAATAAAGAAAATAATTTATTGGACGACTTTTATAAATTAACGTTTTTACCTAAAGCCAATGTTTCTTATTTCTTGAGAGCTTGTTGAAGGGATTTCGATGAAACTAGTATTATAAATTAACATAGGCCATTACTTTATTCCAGGCAGGCGAAGTTGCGGAGAGCAGCTAGTAGGTAATAAAGCAAAAAGGGCATGTGAAGTAATGCACATAATATTTTCCAACAATGGCTAGGGCGTACGCTCCAGAAACAAAAATGTACTGTTCTAATTAATTTTTCTTACGACCAAATGTAAGTGGGACGCGGAAAGTTTCGGTCGTATACAAGAAATACAGCTTTAAAAATTTTCAAGTAACGTCTGGGATCTTTTGCAATGGGGCGTCTTGAACAGCTTTGTACTCGGTTTAATTAGGTAGCTGTATTTCGTTCCATCTAGATATTATTCATATTAAAATAGCGAGTGAAAAGCGGTGAAGCGTCAGAAGAAAGTAATTAAAATAATACTTATTTTCACAAGAACTGTCATTATTTTATGCTGTTTCTGACTTTATACGGTGCTTATAGTTCTTTATACCTGTATTAATATTAGGTCCTTACATATGAAATTGGCGTATTTCGTACTGGCCACTTTAATCACGATGTTCTCCTCTTTGGTAAGGAATTCCAAATTCAAATTTGTACAGCTATTTACTCATGTATTTGTGCTTCGATGACCGTCATTCATTTGTTTTTTTCTGTTCACTCATTTTACAAAATGGAAAACTTAAAGTATCGCATTATTTACGAGTACGAGTTCCGCCGTGGCACTAGTGCTGCGGAAACGACTCGAAGGGTGAATGATGTGTATGGCGGTCATGTTGCAAAAGAAAACACAGTTCGCTTTTGGTTCCAACGTTTTCGTTCTGGAAATTTCGACCTGCAGAACAAGCCCCGTGGACGGCCTGAGACCCAAGTTAATAATTAAGTATTGAAGGCTATTGTGGATAAGCGGATCCATCGCAAACCACGTCCGAGTTAGCTGCAGGCTGCGGTGTTAGTGATAAAACTGTTTTAATTCACTTGAAGCAAATTGGGAAGATTAAAAAGCT